GAAGAGGATCCTCAGTCTCTTCTCTTCGCTCGCTCGGCATGCGGAATCCAAAAATGTCACCGCTCTCCACCCTCCTCGCAATGCGACATTCGGGCGAGAGTCGGAGCTCAGCCCGTCATGCGACGAAACCGCTCGCCAGACCCATCCACCGTGCCCCCCGGGCCCGCCAGGGCGCATGACCGACAACAGTAACAGTCGCACGGGCACCAGGGTGGAAAGGGGTGGGCAGTCCGCCAGCGGTTGGAGTCTGGAGGCGAACGAATGCCGAGCCTGCGCAAAATACCCGGTCGCAGCGTCGTCCACCGTCGCGCCGTTGGCCCGTCCATCAACACCTGTGCCAGACCCTCCCAGTTCCGGGTCCTCCCCGTCGGATGGGACCAGGGCTCGAGGACCGGTTGTCGACAGAGGGCTCCGGCTCCGCGGGGGCGGCGAACTAGCGAGGTATGTGACGCGAAGCCCGGTCTGGTGAGAAGCGGTGAAGAAGGGATGTTGTGTCCGATCTGGACGTAGATGTGAGCTGGTGGGTTTTTCCGACCGGAGACCGGGAGGACCCGCCGGGGAAAGGCGCTAGGGATTGGGATCTCTGGGGTGTCCTTTGTCTTCTTCCAGTTGTGTTTCTTGGCGCGTCGTTCTTTCGTGGCGTGCGGCAGGGATCATGAGGTGAGTCAAATAAAAACATAGCAGGGAGAGTGAGGTTATAGTATTCACGCGAGAGAGAAAGAGGGAGGACAGATACGGACGAGGAAGAGGTGAGTGGTGGGAGAGGCTGGCGGAAGGGAGAAAGGGCAGAAGGTGGAGAAATACGAAGAGAAAGAGAATAGGAACGAAAAAAAAAAAAAGAAAGGTAATTTTAGCTGAGATATATGGCATGCTTGAATGTGAAGCTTGAGGATAAGCGTGAAATGAACGGAAGGATTTGGTAGGCGATCCTACTCACAAGAAGCTCGAAGGAACCGCACGGTACGAGAAGTTCCGAAGAGCCAAAAGCAGGAACATAGACGGAAGCGTCCGTACTTGATGCCCTTACAAGTACTGCGGCGCGACAGGGGACTCAGAAAAGGTCCGGGGTCCGTTCAGGGGACAGAGGAAGACGTTTTGATGAGGATTCCTACTGCATTTATAGTATGCAATGTAATTCTCTTGTTCAAAAAGATTTCCATGCATCAATTTATTCCATGGATATACACAAACGAACAATCGAATTTTTAGAAGGTATATCTTAAATATATCCAACAAGAATCGTACCCCAATAATCCAAGTATCCGTTGAAATCTGGTTGATTTGTCAATCGCATCTCGACAAGGAACCACGCTTTTGGCATGCTTGAAATAGACTAGAAGTCAAATTTATTAAAAATTCTAATTGTGCGGCTGCAACTCCAAGGCCTGGGTTACATGCTGTCAAAAAGAACCAAGAACGATCGCTCTAATCCCTTCGACATAATGACAAGGGGAACGTAGCCAAGAAATCAACGCGCGGAAGTACTGCCTAAGACCAACAGTTTTGGCTCGGGTCTAATACCTGCTATGCTGCTGGCTTGATGCATTGTGGCCAGTCCCAAGTGTTGCGCGTTGCCTTTGCCGTTTCAGGCGACTGCCGGGACTATAATTCTAACCCCTGAACGTCCATCCTCGGCTCGGCGGACGCATAACTCTTTCTTCCAGAGCGTGAGTCTTCTCGGATACTGGGGCTTGTTCCCTC